TTGTCATTCAGAACAGTGTATCAGGATATAAATTGAACATTTCTTCTATAAACACAAAAGCTAAGTTTTCTAACTTTTAAACTATAGTTTGTTCTTTGGAGTAAGCTATAGTTTAGCTCCTCTATTGTCATATAACATGATCTAATTTATACTTTGATTCTGAGTAGGTACAATATAAATCTAAACTCTCCTTCTCTATGTGAGAAAGATATGGAGAAAGACCAGGGTGAAATAATTTGACAGCTATCCTATCACTTTACAACTTCTATTTTTGTAATAATAAAACTTTACATGATATCAAGTGCTTAGGAATAGTTTACTCATAATATAAATACATCTTTTACACTGGCTTTCTTGTTCATACAAATTGACAGGAAAAATATGTGCACGAAAACACATTTTTATACTTGAAGAAAAAGAAGCATAAAAATTATCATTATGTCTAGGAGGGCAACTTTAATGTTTAATTTTGTAGTCTTTATAGTTATTTTAATTAATGATATGTGCTACTTCTCAGTAACAATCACAGGGCAATCAAAATTTAATAACACAATTACATAAATATAATTACAAAATGAAAAACACAAAGAAAAATGTGTTCTGCTCTAATAGATTTAATTTGTATATCAAAAATCATGAAACTCCGAGTTACACAATTATTAATGGTAATAAATTTCCACCTTTGATCCTCTCTTTCATTTCCCTTTAATGGTTCAAAGCATTTTTAATTTTTCTATTAACTTTCATGTCCCAATAACTTTTCAAAATGTCAATCTGTCTTATGAAGTTATGTTTACCTAAGAACTAATAATCTTAAAATAATATTTTCAATCCTCAGTAGGGGACTCAAGATCTTATGAAATATTTTTCATGACTTACACACTTTGGGTCAAAAGCAATATATATTTCAATGGTGATTTCTTCCAGAATGTTTTGAGGGAAAGCTTCAAAGTATACATCTTTCTAAGTGGAGAGACTTCATGAGTTTCTTGACCCTCTTCTTTAAAAACAGTGATGGAAGCAGTATCTGAGTTATGATTTATCTCTAGCATGCTTCCTACATATGTAGAAAATCATAAACATTTTAAACTTTGGTCAGACATCCTGGGACTGATCTTTTTAGAACCCCTCTTCCCAATACCATTCCAGGTAGAGCATTTTTGCTCTGAAAACCCATTGCTGCCCAATTTCTTTATGCCTTTAAAATGCTAAAATACAATTTTGTGTTCCAGAAACCTAGCCTTGGGTTCTTTTGTTCTTAATCAGAAGACTGGCGCATATTGTTTGACAAGGCTGAAAGAGAATCACAGGTTCTAATAGGTCTACATAAAAATTTAGAAGAATATGTATAGATGTGAGAAAAAGAAAGTAAAAATGTTATTTTGGCTTTCCTACCTAGAAGTTAAGAAATTTTAAAAACGTGACTAGTCAGCCACCATGAAGATAACAGAGAAGGAATAAAGAACCTGCAACTAATGTCAGGACACTAAGGAGAAATGGTGGAAAAGAGAGATCGAAACCATTCCTTGCTTCAATTACACTCCTGAGAACACAGCTTGCAAAAGAGAGATCTCTAATTGGAGATTTCAAGACCTGCCCAGATTACTACTTTGGTAGATCCAAAGAGACACCCAGTGTGCATGAACTTTTCAAGTTCTCTGAATTTTACCATAAGTGACAGAGCTTCAGAGGACGTTCCTTCTATAGCAGTTGACATTTGAAACCCCAAAACAGTTCAACCAAGAATTTCCATTAATATCAAAACTTTCTGACTAGAAGTTTTCAAAGTTCATAATTCACCAAGAGAAGGAATATGCATGAGCTATTAGAGAAATGGTGACAAACTCTACCACTAGAAAAGGAAGACACTGCAAGCAAAAATCTTAATGAGAAAGACCATAAAAGTACTGACAGGCGTCAGTCTCACTATGGCTGTCCACTCCTAGGTTCTAGTTTACTAAAAATAGCTCTCAGAGTACAGATCTCTCCTTCTCTTTGCCCTAAGAAAGCTAAAGAACTCTCCAAGGGGTGTGGCGACTGCCCTCTGAAACCTGATGCTAGTTGTGAGGTCAGATTTGCCCAGAAATAAAAGGAAGCCTCAGAGAAGGAGGACTCCACTCAGGGATTGGAGCAGCCCTCAACTTACTATTCTGCCTCGCCACCGCTGTTTTGCAGTCCAGAACTCCATCATGGTGGGTCCTGTAAGAAAACTATGTGTCATTTATAGGAGGATATAGTTGGTAGTAGAAAGGCAGACAAGGGATAGAATTGAGAAGAAAACATATTCCGGACAAATGTTTAGAATCTACTCTTGGTTTTGATGAGATATGTTGAAGATAGAAGAAATTACTTAGATACTCTGCATCTTACTTCCAAAAGCAGTTCTTTATACGTCACCAGTTTCTGTTTTATCACATAAGGCTTACCTAAATGTAGAAAATAAGTTTGCAATTATAGCAAAATAGCATAGCTGAACATTCAATCCAATGATAACTGATAACTAAAATTAGATAGTCTGTTTCTGATGTTTGGGGTATTATATACTAGTATAAAAATATACTGGCTCAATAGCAAAAAGACTTAGGGTCTTTATATGTGGTTTATATGCACTTTTTAATTCAGTGTATCTCATTAGGCATATCTTAAATATATCACATATCATTATATTATTCTAGGAAGTATTTGATTTAGCATTTATTACATCATTTTACTGGTTAAGATACAGAGAAATGTTACCTAATTGTCTTTTGCAATAGATTTTTGTGTTCCTAGATTCAAAAGTACCCTAAGGCAACCTTCTTATGTTATGACATCTACATGGCTTCCTAAAAGTCTCACAGCAGAGAGCACTCACTCTTCTGTCAATGCATTTGAAAGGGTACTAGTTGTTTCTTTCTTTCTCTCTCTCGCGACTGCAGTCCTTCAGTGCTGACCAGATTGCTGGTAAGTGATTTGAGCTTCTCTACTGCAGATGTAGGCAGAGCACTGCCTCGTTTGTGGCTCAACCTGTTTGTGTCCATGCCATGCCTGAACTCGGAAAAGTAGGCTGATTTTTAAAGCTTACTTGGAAGATTACTCAAGGAATGAGCTGGATACACTTAAAAATCAGGACATTTTTGTTTGGTTAAAATATTCTTTGTGATTAATTTCTTTCTAACAGATCGAGTTCTCTAAGGAACAACAGGATGGTAAGTTTAAAAGCTACAGTTGTTGATATGTGCACACTCGTAAAGATGGCTTGTGAGAAAACCAACTCACTCTGAATGAGTCAAGCTTTTCCTAATTATCCACACTGGTGTTGCCACTCTAAATATAAATTGCTCTCAATCACTATAAATATAAATTTGTTCAACCTGAACTCCTTGCTTATAATCAGTAATCAAACATTTAAGAAAATAAAAGCAAACACCACAAAATAAGTCCTTACATTCACTGATTTCTAAATAAAACCAGTTACAACAGGTCATACCATACATGTATATACGCACAGGAGGGTATAGATTTCCAAAAGTTAGTTTGCTAATCAAATCCCTAAAGTATTTAGGTATGATTTCAAACTGATTAGAAATTTCTCTTGTAAAATGATACTAGCAAGGAGTCTACAAACTCTTAAAATTTAAGAGAATCCGATTAGTTTCTCTAACATTTAAATTTTTTCCCCTTTGAGTCTTTGAATCCAACAGATCCCATACCACACAGGATCTTGTTTTTTGGCATTCAGAAGTGTAAGAAGGAATCTTTTATAAAGTGTGTCACAATATCTGAAAGAACTGAGACAGAAGTACATTTGTAGAAAAGAGTTTGGTCAGGTCACATGGTATATGCTACAATACTGGACATAAAAATATTATATATTATGATAGATAATATATAATTATGGGTGATTAGTAGCAATCTATTCAAGTAGTTCTCTACTTAAAGGATTACACATTCTTCAGTCAGTGTCAGTATCATGTTTGTCATATTTCCATGTGAATATCAGTTTGGCACCTACATCATGTGTTATGGTCCCATATAGACAGATTGAATGATTGGATGACTTCTAACTCAAGATCATTTAAAATTACATTACAAAGTACTGGTTTTTCTTATTGAAAGCAGTTGGTGATTCTATATAATTTGTTTGATTTTAATGCATTTTTAACTAGTGTTGCTGCTACCTTATCAGCTTCTGGATCCTAGCCCTCCGCTCCAGTATCTAATTTATAAAGTCAGTATGATTGCCAAACTGTTGTAGGACCAAGCAATGAAAGATTTTTAAACCCTCACAGAGACAAACAGACTTACTATTGAGCATGAAACCTATTACTCCACATGTGAAGTAGGTTGTAGACATAGAAGTTGAGTAAATGTAATGTAAAGGACTGGTTTCTTTTTGTGTTAAGGAAACATATGTAAGCTTTTTAAATTAAATGAAAATCCTGTACTTTCAGAAATAAATGAAGACTAGTTTGTTTCCTGGTTTAATGATTTGAATAATGTTGCTTATGCTATTGTGCTTGAATTAAAGGAAAAAATAGGACTGAAGGGAAAAAATTAAAAATTATAGCATTGTAAAGGTCTAAGTCCTATGCTATCCAGAAGAGTTGCCACCAGCCACCATGGCTACTTAAAAGCTCTAATTATTTAAAAATTAATAAATTTAAAAATCTATATCATCAAGTTCACTAGTCACATTTAAGTGTTTAAGAGTCCCAGATAGTAGCTCCCTTTTGGGGCAGATAAAGAACAATTCCATCACTACCAAAAAAGTCCTCAAACAATGTTCTTCTAGACTCAAAGTCAGAAAACTTTTTCTTAAAGGGCCAAAAAGGAAATATGTTAGGCTTTGCTGGCAGTACAGTCTCTGTAAAATAACTCGCCTCGGTCAATGAAGTATGAAAACATCCATAGACAATATATATGCAAATGAGGGGGCACCTCTCTTTGGAATCTCCCCCAAACTCTGGGGACTGTACTCTCCTACTTTACACTTTCTATAAACTCTCCATCTTTACATTTTACAAAAATGAGAATGGCTGCATCCCAAACCAAACTTTCTTCACAAAAATGGGAAGGCAAACCTTGGGAAGTAGCTTGTCAATCCATGTTCTAGACTTTTCAAGAGAATAACTAAACCTTGGGTTACAAATTTCGGGTGAAAAAAATAGTATTTTCCTGGCCTTTTCCTTTAAATCACCAAAGGTTTAATGTCAAAGTGATTCCATTACAGCTCATTAAAATTGTACTCCTACATCAGCATTTTACCAGGGTAATTGTACGCCCTCTGAGCTCTCTGTGCCTGAACACCTGGAGCCAGTATCAAGAATAGTTCAGTTTCACATTTGAAAAATAATATTTGACTAATGAGACCTCTAGACCTGCAGCATGTGTTTTTGATTAGGGACATCATCTGTTATAGTCACATTACATAGGATTTTAGCAAAGAATAGTAACATGATCTATAGCTAATTATAAATTTGGTGTCTAATGCAATCTGAAATTAAGGGGTAGAGGGACAGTAACATATAATATTTGGCTGAGTAATCTATATAGACAGCATCTTTTGATTTGAGACCACTGATAGTCTAAAAACAATGCTTTCAGTGCTCCTAGTTCATTCACGAACATTTTTGAGTGTCCTTGATATTAACTATGATAAATCACCACCAACACTTGTGAATTTCCCAGAAATTTATATTTATTTAAGTTTGTAAGTTTCCATTAAAATGGCTTTACTGGACCCTAAACCCATAGTAGCACCTTTCCTGTCTTTCTGATATATATTTCTAAATTCTTTGTCATTGTAGTTTGAAAGATACAACCAGTTTTATCAAAAAAGAATGGTAAATATAAGGAAAGGAACCAATAGAGTAATTGTGATAAGAATAGATAGCATTTTTAAAATATGTACTTAATATATGCACATTTATACAAACACACACAGAAAAAAAATGAGTACAAGTAGGGTAATATGAAAATTGGTTGGACTGGGAATGTAGGTCTGTGGTAGAGGGCTTGCCTAGCATGCAAGAGGCCATGGGAGTTCAATCCCCAATATCACATACACACACACACACACACGTTATAATAATATATTATGATTTTCAAATTTTTACCACTGTGGAAAACTGGGCAGAATATACAATGGATCTCTCTGGATTATTTTTTGTCTATGTGTGAATTTACAATTATTCCATAGAAGTTTAATTTAAAAGATATTTAAATGCTAAAGCTGATAAAACAACATGTTATCATATATATTATCTGAAAGACAGGAAGATAAAGTAGGTCCTGTTTGGAGGAAGATAAATGGAGAGGGTAAAACAGGGTGAATATGGTGTATGTACTTTGTATACATAATTGAAAATAGAATAATGAAACCTGTTGAACTTGTTCTAAGAAGCAGAGGTGGGCAATGAGGGAGAATGATGGAGGAGGTGAATCTAATTAAGATGCATTATAAACACATATATGAATGTCACAATGAAATCCTTCAGCACAACCAATATATGCTAATAAAAATATAAAAAGGATAAATATAGAGATTATCATAGCCATCAATCCAAAAACTGTATCTCCTTCTTGAATCCATTATACCAAGAGCCTACTACAATCACAGTTTGTTGTAGTTAAATGATACAGAACTTACAGACTTGTCTCACCCATAAATTTTTCTTGAAAAAATGCAGATGTTTTTGGAGGAAAACTAGTTGGGGAATAGCCAAGGAAATCTACACCTCAAGAAGAGGGTTTTTTCCTTTGTAATTTGACAAATTTGAGTTAACCTCATATAACATAATCCTGATTGGAAATTTGTTTTTTTTAATTTTATTAACCTTGCTAATTGTATGAAGTATTATATAAAGATTATCAACATTTCTCAAGGTCTCAGAATTTCTTAATCTAGTCATGTTTTCCAGTCAGGTAAAGGAAGTATAAATAAATTGAACTATGAGCTCCAATTTCTACAGGTGATTATTAATAACATATGATGAGAAATTGGAGTAATAATCCCAAAGAGAAATGCTGAGTTTGCCAATGATTTGAGGTAGGAAAGGTGAAGCTCTAAAGATGACAACTTGAGTGGTTGACAAAAGTGTAAAACAGAAGAGTTTGAACTGAATCCTTGAGAGGTTGAGATTAACTAATAGGTTTTAAGAAGAAAACAAACAGCCTAATTCTCCTTGCTTCTTGCAGAATTCAAGGAGGCATTTCTCCTGTTTGACAGAACCGGTGAAAGCAAAATCACCTTAAGCCAGGTCGGCGATGTCCTTCGGGCACTGGGCACAAATCCTACCAATGCAGAGGTCAAGAAGGTTCTGGGGAATCCTAGCAATGAAGGTAACCTTATCAGCTTATTCATGGTCTGTGGAAGTCTAGAGAAACCATTGGGGGAGGGAGAAGAAGATGATGAAGAGAAGGAAGGGGAAGGAGATGGAGAGGAATAGAAATAAATAATAAATTCCATATAATAAGGCTTAGTGTACTCCTGATGGTGGCAGGTATGCTTCTTGTCTATCCAGTCTTATTAGCATTTTCCTCATAAAACAAGTTAACCTTCCTTTGAGAAGGATCACTAAACATGATAAAATGTCATGTAGTGAAAAGAAATGATATCTAATGCTAAGACCATCATCCTTATCATTAGATCTACTGTCCATAGTAGAAGGGAGAATGAAATTAAATAATATTCAAATCAGCACATTTTCTTCAGACTTCAGTCTTTCAGTGGCAAAAATATATTTTGACAAAGATGGTAAATATGACTAAAACACAATGTGTTTTACGTATGATTTTGAACAAATTAGAATGCCATACTTCTAGAAAAAATATATTCCTCAATAAAAACTGTGGAAACAAAGTTGCAATGTTTGGAAGTAACTGAAAAATACTGCTGACTTTGACCATATATCTTTTTTTTTCTTTTATTATTCATATGTGCATACAAGGCTTGGGTCATTTCTCCCCCTGCCCCCACCCCCTCCCTTACCACCCACTCTGCCC